ACATTTACTGTGGTTTTGAAGTGTTCCGTTGGGCTTTTATCCCATTAATGGCCAAGGACACTTAGGAAAAATGGAAAGATTTCATGTATGCTCCTAAAAGACAAATGCTTCCAACAAATATTTTACTTAATATCCCTAGACTTTCGTAATTACTGTACTAAGTGGATACTAATATTCTGTTATAGAATTTTTGCTATTACAACAAAGCGCCCTTTGATTTTCATATTAGTGTCCATTCAAGAATATTTGAACAGCACCCTCAATTTAGCAATTATGTGTATTATCATGGCATGGGTAGCTGCTGCTTACATAAAACAAGTGCTGATACGACGTGAAGCAGAATTGGCTGCTGTCTTGACAGGAAAATAGTACTGCAGTTAAAATGTCAAGGGTGACCAACCTCAGGAGGGAATACACATTGTATAATATAAAAGATTGGAGGCCGGCCTGTGGCTCACTCGGGGGACTGTGGTGCTGATAACACCAAAGCCAGGGGTTCGGATCCCCATATAGGGATGGCCGGTTAGCTCACGGGGTGAGCGTGGTGCTGACAACACCCAGTCAAGGGTTAAGATCCCCTCACCTGTCATCTCTTTTAAAAAAAAAAAAAAGATTTTATTACGAAGTCCATTTTCAACCTTTACTAAAACAGTTTAGGGCAGGTTTTCCCTTTTACTTCTGTGAGCCCATTTAACCCATTTTCGTGTCTAGCAAAAGTAAAAATCAATGTATAAATACCAAAAATTTTTTCTGAGTAGGCTTTCCTCTTTTGGCAAATTTTAATTATTTCCTATTTGACTTGTAATACAAACTCTTTTTTTTTTTTTTTTTTTTTTTAAAGATGACCGGTAAGGGGATCTTAACCCTTGACTTNCCCCCAACCGGTACCGGAAAAGGTGCAAGCTCAACCGCGGCTTAGAGCCGAGGACCGGAACTCCGCCCTCTACCTCTCTGATTGAGTAAATGAGCAAAGGAAGATGGAGAGGATTGGTCAGCAGCAGAAAGGCGGGCCGTGACTCAGGGGAAGCGAAAGAGGCGGGGCGTGGAGGCGCGAGGAATCTGCCAGGGGCGGTCCTCTTTCGCTAGCTCCCGATTGGACAAGATCAGGAAGTCTGCGCCTGCGTAGACCCCCACTTTCGTATAACGCCGCACAGCACCGCCCCCTACCTTACGTGAACGGAAGTTGTACGTGATCCCGTTGGTTGCGATGAAGGTTTGAGTCCTCTGGCTGCGTGGCCAATAAATAGCAAGAATGAGTAAAGCGGGTTCCGCCTCTTCCCTGGCTGACTGCATCCTTCCGTTGACAGTGGGCAGCGTGGGTTCCCTTCACCGTTTAGACGCTAGAGCTTCCACAGAGCCCAGCTCGGGTAGAGAACGGTTATGGTGACTAGGAGATTTCTACTGCAGATGAGGAATAACTTAGTCGTTAGAATCGGGCCCTGAACCAACCCCCATAGGCTCAGTGTTTGAACACGAGGGAACCAGTCCTTCACGCCTCATTGGTGAAACTGAATGTAGCTTAGGGATTCTTTGGCTGTGTCATTGGATGAAAAAGTTAGCAATTTGAAGGTAGCTCCACCTCGGCCTCAAGGAACTCTGGCATTTGTAGTCCCGGACCTTCAAGTCCCATAGCTGTAAACGTGGTAGTTACTACAGTAGAGTTCTTCCTTATTGTTAATAACGCCCGCTGACATTTACTGTGGTTTTGAAGTGTTCCGTTGGGCTTTTATCCCATTAATGGCCAAGGACACATAGGAAAAATGGAAAGATTTCATGTATGCTCCTAAAAGACAAATGCTTCCAACAAATATTTTACTTAATGTCCCTAGACTTCCGTAATTACTGTACTAAGTGGATACTAATATTCTGTTATAGAATTTTTGCTATTACAACAA